GCCCTAACCCGAAGGGGAATTCTTGAGTTGGAGGGCCCTCCGGGAAATTCTTTGAGGTAGAATATGATCGACTCCAATCTTCCCTTAACCCTATCGAATGTCACCATTTGCGGGGGGCCGCATCGACCAGTTCATCCAGTTTCCTCTTCGCGGAGTTTATAGTTATATCGTTGAACCCCCCACCATTTATGACCATGGAGGAGGGGAACCTTTCCCATCTACTGTGCATGGACAGGGGCTCTTCGATATCTTCGGGGATGTAGAAGTCCTTCGGTCTTGTAACGTAGAATGTTGTCTGTATGGGGACCGTCTCGTTTGATGGTCGAGCATCTTCCTCAATCTCCTTTGTGTTGTGGGCATCTCGACAAGGGGCGTCGCTGTGCCGATATTTCTCAAGTCTCCCCCCTTTAATAAGGGTCTCAATAGCATCTTTGATATGAACACAGTCTTCAGTCAGGTGTCCATGACTTCGATGATATTGGCAGTATTTTCTCTGATCAGCCCCGGGCTTAGCAGGAGCAGAGCGAGGACGCATAACACCATCTTCCTTGAAATCAGTACTAGCACACTCCACTAAGATGCGCTCGTGGGAAGCTATATGCGGAGTGTACTCTGTAAATCGCCCCGCGGGCCCTCTCTGCTCGAGAGGAACCCGTGGTTTGTCATCCCTCCTCTTTTTGCTCATTCGTCGAGGAGTGCCAGAATCTTGTTATCGCGGATTGTTGGTTGATCCACAGTTCCTCGAGTCTCGGGCTCTATTGACCACTTCCCTCTCCTCATAGTCCATATAGGCCATAACCTTCTCGTGGAGAGCATCGAATATCTGCGGTGGTTCGATGCCAACGGCTTTTCTGAACTTTGTGCCTGGGAGGAGTCCCCTCTCGAGCAGGTATCTCTTCATATGATCGGTGCAGGGGACCTGGATGGCCCCGCGGTTGAATAAATCAATGAACTCCCTGAGGGTATCTTCATTTCTTTGGACGATGGACTCGAGGGATGCCTCAGTCTTCAGATGTCGACGTGAGGCAGTGAATGAATTGATGAACTGGTTTTTTAAATTCCTCCAGGAGGTAATTGACCCCAGGGCGAGGCTCTTGTACCAGTCCATCGCAACTTTTCTCAAAGTCGTGGGGAACAACCGACATTTGATTGGTCCCCCGACATTATGATAATGCAGCATTGCCTCGAACACGTCGACATGGTCGACTGGATCGGCAATACCGCCATACTCCTTAAGATGGGGAGGTTTCTCCATACCCGGGGGAATGGGTGCCTCCATAATAGCTTGTGATAGGGGACCGCAGGGTCGTCTTCATCGCTTCTGTTAGAAGATCGAGAAGGCGACCTGTTGCAGTGGCGGTCGTGATGATGGCCCTGGTCGCGCGGAGGATTCCTCGGGTGGTCTGGTCGTTCGTCGTTTCCCCTGTTCCTGTTTCCAGGGGGTCTCGGCTCTTGACGCGGGGGGACGTGATCTTATCTCCTCATATCTAAAGGCTGATCCCTCTCCAACGTGGGGCATCGGCCGATTGGTCGAGGAGAGGGGCTTCGAGAGGCATCCCGTCTGCGTCTCTGCGGGGGAGATTGGGGATGGTCCTCTATCTGATGAGGATGAGGAGAATCAGGCCTCTTATGTCTTATGGGGGCTCTCCGAGAATCTTAGAGCGCCCTTAATCTCTCCCCTTGCGAAAAGATTAAGTAGTTTGTTTGATTTATTGCCACGAACAACGCCCTGGTCGTGGCATCAGCACCCGCAGGAACGGGGACTTCTTGGAACGTGGGCGGCTGATAGTTCTGGAGAGGACGATGGTCATTTTCGAGTCGCCGAAACAGTGATAACGAAGAGGCAGTCATCCCGTCTCTGTATTCCAAGGGACCGGGCATGCCCCCGGCGTGGCCGTTATTGTTGCCGGTGTTGTTATTGTTACCGGCATTGAGGCCAGCGGGACCAGCGCTGTTAATGTCGGTGTCGTGGTCGGCAATGTTGTTATTGACGTCGGCGATATGGACATCCATGTTGTTTTCAGCCGTGTGATCAACCATGACAGTCAGAAAGGAGTTGGATTAGCTTTTGTCTTGGGTGAACAACGACGGGGAAGCGGTGTTTCCCACAGACGGTGCCATTGATCGTACCTGACCAGAATGGACCGTCACAACTTACTTCGAGCAGAACTTGTGAGTGAGGTGGGGGGTACCTGCAAGACACTCCGATGCTAAAATGAGATACAGAATGAGCTAGCAAGCAAGAGAATAAGAAATGATCAATACCTGACCCTCTCGAAATAGAGGGTATTTATAGCCCCCAACGCTGGACCAAGGTCTCCTCATTGGGCTGGTTAAACAGGCCCAACATGGAGACTACCAGGTTCTACGTGAGTAGTGGGGACCCGCACATGGTCCCTCACCTGGATGACTTCCTCCACAAGATCAAGAGGATATGGATGCAGTCTTTCCGGGACCACGAAGACTCCGCGATATTCGGAGACATTGACAGTCAGCCCTACGAGAGGATGCTCGTGAGGCACTTCTGCTCGTCGTGGATGCTCCCCGCCAGATGCGAGGTCGTGTGTTAGGATCAGTCTTGGTCGGGGAGAGGATCAGAGGGTGACCTCGAGATCCTCCTGACCGACGATGATCTTCCTAAGACTGATTGAGTTTATCCTCGTGCGGTGAGGTCGCCTCCTTGCGAGGAGTGGGAGCTACTGTCCGACGATCTCAAGGGCAGAACTGATCAGTATACTTTGACCGACATAATTGGATTGGGCCTCTCGTGGAGCTGAGCCAAGGGCAGGCTCAATCCAGAACAGAAAGTCAAAAGAGAAAGCTCGTATCGCTTAAATAATAAGAGAGCTTTTTATGTTCTTGAAAGCGGTTAGTTATTACGCCCTCCGTTCTTTATTTTAAGTTATTTTTTTATATAAATTATACCACAATATAAATTATTTTATAATTTTAATGAATAACTAATAATATTTTTCCTATTATATCTTTAAATATTTATTATTCTCTCAATTCAATTATGTAAATTTATCATTAAAGAATAATAATTTTATAAAAACCTCTCATTTTCATACAACCATCATTATTTTTCTTAATATATATAAAAATTCCAAAACCACTTATAATAAAAATGGAGGTAGTATACTTTTGGAGTCTAAAGTTTAGACTTGAAGATTCTTATAAATACCTCAAATACGAGATTGAGAATACATTCAATTCATTATGTAAAACAGTACTTGTAAAGCTTCTTACAATCCATGTTTGAGGTTGCTCTAACACCACGACAATCTTAAAAACCGGACAACCTCATAAAATAAAGAACCGCCACATATTATACTTTTAATAAGTATGAAAATAAAAAAATATTTACAATAATTCCTTTTGAAATGCTATTTACACTAATTTTTGTATTTGAAGTTTATTTATTTATTTTTTAAATAAACTTAAAAAAAAATAAAACTTTATTAAAATACACACCAACAATGTAAATTTTTTTTACACAATCAATTAATTATAAAGAAATTTGACTTTTATTTTTCCATAATATAATATGAACAGACAATGGTAATGAATCGAAAGTATATAACTTTTTACACTAATAATGTATAGTAATTAAGCTAATTTTTTATTTAAATTTTTTCTTAAAAAAACTTGTAAATTTTGTAAACAAAAATTTATAATATTATAAAAATTATTAAAACTGAAACAAGCAAACTTTATATTTACATCACTTGCTTTTGTATTAAAATATAAATTTTTTTGGAATTCTCAACATGCCTTTAGCACTTGCAAACAAAAATAACCTCTCAATGACTTTGTCGTGGGGGAGAAGTTGTATTTTTTTAGTGTTTGAATCCTTCCTTGCTCAAACTCAAAGTAGCTAAAGTTTGACAAAAAAAGTCAACGTAGAAAACACTTGAATGGGTTGAAGTCAATCGTCGATTTAAATTTAACCCAAATCATTAACGCATTATGCATTTTCTCCTTTTCTTTTTTTTTTTAATAAAAAATAATACCATAATAATTACTCTTCCATTTAAATGTTTGGAAGTCTTGCTATTAATATTTATTTAAGAAAGGAAAGGTTTTAACCGTTGTAATTTTATTTGAGTCACAATCCACATTAAATATAAACTTATTTTTAAACTAAATTTGAAACTTTGTTCGAATATAAATATTTAACATCTTATATTAGATTTGATCTCGGTTAGTAACTGATCAGTGACAGAATCAGAAATTTTAAATAATTTGACAAAAAATTTAATCTCAAGTTATATGTGACATAATATATAAATAGTTATAAAGTGTGTTACATAAGAGAGATGAAATGTAATCTACGAATAGTATGTTAAATAAAATTATGAGGTAAATGTCCTCTTCGAGACTTATTTGCGGTGAATGTTCGAATAATATCATCTTTAAGTGACTTGAATATCTCTCACTCGGTGTAACATATCATCAAGTCATTGAACCACACATCGTTGATTTCATTGTGTAAATTAGACGTGATAATCTTCATTGTTGAAAAAACTCTTTCAACAGACACAACCACTAATTATTTGGACCACAGTCAAAACATCTCTCACTTTTTGATCATTAGATTTTACCTAATCCACCATCTCTCTAAAATTTCTATTGTTTAGAGAAGTAGAGCTTTCATCATGGCCACGGAAAGTAATGCCTTGTGCTATGAGATATCTAGTACAATCTAAAGAACAAGTCAAACGAATCTTATACGATTCTTCTGATTTCCTAGATGCTCTAGCAAAGATATTTGTCACACTTTGTCTTTGATTATTATAATCGTCATAGTGCTTCATACATGAGTTATGCTTACTATCATGACTACCAATATGATCTTTAAAGCCTTTAGATGCATGCTTCCACTCTATAAATCTGTCTTTGTTGAAGACTTCCTAACCAAAGTGTTCGTCCCTCTCGGGCGCCTTAAAGAGAAAGCAATAGAAACAATAAGTTGTATCCTTTGACTCACTGTATTCAATCTATGTATAATTCTTATACCATGCTTTACAAAATACTCTTGAAGACTTCCCAAATTGAGTACGAGGAAATGTTGTTAAATCTGGTTGCGTTGAACCCTTCAATATATATGCTCTCTTCACTTGGTCTTGAATATTCAGGGCATACTCATGAATTTGTTTCCTACATCCTGGATCACGCACAATCTCATTTGGATTAAACTCATTGACCACATTAGGCGGTGTTTCTTCTACTCCGGCTTCCGGTTGCACAATATTCACATTCTCAATACTTGTTCTAGAAACCAAAAACCTCCTCATCTCTGAATCAGAATCAAACAAGAAAGTTTAGAATCAGAATCAAACAAGCAATGTGAAAACAAAGAATCACTAATGTAGTAACAAATGTGAAAATACCAACAATGTCTATAACAAGCAGAAACCAAACACAAAGAAGCAACTGATTAAAATAAATTCAGAAACACGAAATTTAATCTAATTAAGTAAAATAAGAATTTTGGAAATTTTTTCGGATTTTTTCGAGACTATGAAAACAGGAAAAAGATGAATTTGAGATTTTGAGCGTGGGATCCCGTAACTCTTCCAGAGTATGGGACATTTGCTCGCACGATTTTTCTACACAGAATGCACAAAAAAATTCAAGAAAAAATGATTTCCCCTAAAATTGGGTTTTTCGGGCCACGTCAGACGCAAAACAGACGCCCGGACGAGAATCACACAAAACAGACATAAAACGCAACAAACAAAACCTAAAAAATAATAACGGTTACAAAAAATCAGAAGAGAGGAGGCAGAAGAATTCACCTCACGGAAGAGCAGAGCAACGAAGGTCGCCGGTCGGACTCGGCAGAGAGGATACGACAGCGACTCGTCGAAGAGAGGAGGGAGGAGATATGAAGAGACGATGGATTTTCTTTTTTTAACAACTTGTGTACAAGGAGGGAGGATGATTAGTTTGTTTTGTTTTAAGAGAGATTTTTTATGATTAGTTTGTTTTGTTTTAAGGGAGTTTTTTTTTTAATTTCTGTTTTGATTAATAAATAATTAATTGGGCTGAATCATTGGTTATTCATCTGTTTTAGGTTTTACACCCTATTTTTACTAATTTTTCCTTTGGTTTTATCTAAAAATTATTAATTTCCCCCTAATTTTATCTAAAAATCGGTTATTATGTAGAGGATGTACAATGAAAAGAGGGGTTGAGCTCGGGCGCGTGCTCGGGCTCGCTGGGTTGTAAATCTGCCCATGTAACTAATGTAATTTTACACATAAGTCAGATCTAAGATGAGATTGATTTAATGTTTTTAAAATTTATTTTAATAATATGAAAATGAGTTTTACATTTAGAATTTATTTAGACAGTAGAAATAACATTTTAGATTGTAGATCGTGTACATGAAAATGAGTGGAAAAAAATATAATCGAGTGATCATAATCCGACAATTGACTAAAGAAAAAAAATTTTAAGTAAGATTAAGAATACATCGGAAATAGATAAATTAAGTGTGGAGACTCATTGAATTTATACTAATGACATAAGAGTTTTTTCAATAGACATACATGAATGATATAGAAATTAAAGGTAAGAAGAACTTGTGATCATATGCCACCATCAACTAGACCAATGCTTTAGGATAATAAAGGAGAGACACCATATTTTAACTTAAAATTTTAAAGTATTATGTAAATGAGTGTTTTAAAACCCAGTCCGATCCGGCCGGTCGGATCGGTCTGACTGAGAACCGGTGGGCCAGGCAGTCCAATTAAGGGATAAGACCGGAATTACATTTAGACCGGATGAAACCGGTGTGAATCGGCCAGATCACTGGTTAAACCAGTAAACTGGCGGTTTTTACTGAACCGACGGGTTTGACAATTTATTTTATTTTTTAGGACTTTTGAAAAAAAAATTAACATAAACGCTTTGCCTCCTAGTTTCCCAAACCCCGGTTTTCATGTGTGCTTAGGAAAATAAGAAATGGGAGTTATGATCCTATCAATATTGAAACAATTGCCGACCATTCTAGTTGGATATTAGAGGATTCACCACCTCTCTTAACCAATGAAGAGTTGGAAGCATTGCAGAATGACCTTACAAATATGACCATCCAACTAATTTCAAGTGATATTGGTATGTTCTAATATGAGTATAATATAGTTTGTGGTTGTGAATCAATTTAATGTCTCATATTTACCATCTCTAAATTTTTTTTGTTAATTATTTTTTAAAATATTGTTATAGATCAAATAGATTTAGATGAGGATGAAGATGGAGATATGGGTAATGCACAAGATACTATTGTTGATACTATGAATCAAGAAAAAAGAAACACCAGAGAAGATGAAGTTGGTGGAGAAGACAATGAAGTTGAAGATGGATATGAATATCAAGATTATGACAATTTGACTTCATGGACATAAGAAATTATGGATCATTGAGTATGGATTTTTGTGACTTATTATAATACTATAACTTATGAATTGTTAAGTTTCTATCACTTCTTTGAATTTATAATTTTCTACATTAAGTTTCTATCACTTATTTTGATTGTTACTAATACTTTTGTTTATTTTAAATTATTTGAATTTATAATTTTCTATATTATTATAGTTACAAATTTCAGGTAATGGATATATTTTTTATAGAAACCGGGTCAAAAGCCATGTGGTCTGACCAGTGACCCACTGGTCCGACCAGTAACCCAGTGACCCAGTAACTTTACCGAGTCGATCACCGGTCTAGATTTTAAAACATTGTATATCTCTTATAAATACAAATGATTCACATTTTCACCCAATATTCTCCATCATAAGTGTGAGTCTCCCACATTCTATAATATGATGCAACTCTGAATCCAACTCCCGTTCCTCCCACCAAATTAAACCATGACTCTGATACCGTTGTTAGGGAGTCTGAGAGAGTTGATATTACCAATTAGATCAATGCTCTAGGACCACAAGCGAGAGATACGCCATATCTCAATCCAAAACCTTAGCAATACAATGTGATCCCATTTAGTTGCTAGGAAAAAACAAAGTATAGTGAAAAGAGGAACACAATAACAACACAAGGGCATAACGTGGAAACTCCATAACCGAAGAAAAAACCACGACTGTTGTTAATAATAACCAGAGAATAATACCATGTAAAAATTGTTACAACACATAATATACCCTCAATTACCCCAGGCCTCCAGTACACCCACACCCTCTTAAACAAATATTTAACTACATCTCACAATATTCTAATACAAGAGTATAAGAGAACGAAGAAAATCAAATATAAAATTAAAGTGCTTTTGACTGATGAATTTTGTAACAAAGAACTTGAATCTTATAAATATCCTTGGACTCCCTCTTTCTTCACAAAACTAAGTGATGTGGGACTTAAAGGAACTTGTATCCTATATATAACATTGGACTCCCCCTTCATTCATAAAACTAAGCATTGTGGGACTTACTCAACATGTATATTTTCAACCAACCCTAACAATATCCACCTTGATTGAAAATAATACATTAACTTTCATTGTCTTCACGGGCAATCATACTGCACCATAATGAATATATTCACTTGAAATTACACCACTCCAAGAATTTTCACATTGTCTTCATTGACAATCACAGTTTTAAAAACTATCATACTCCACCTAAAGAAGAGTATACTTCACTTAAAGTTAAACCACTTTAAAAATTTTTACATGTCGAAAATCAGGTTGAAAAATTATGGTGCGACATCCATGTTGGAAGGAAGCTACTCAACCATCAATATAATCGCACACCTCGTGTAAATTTGATTGTATTTACACATATTTGACTTGAAGTTTCCACAAGTTAAAAACAATTCTTCCATTAATTTTCTCTTGCACAAACTGCACAGTGGGACTTGTGACTGCAACTCAACAACTTTTTCACAACACCACCCTTCTTTTCTGATGTGGAAGATAAAAAAAAACTGCAACCATAAAGCATACTAAGAACTCTTATCCTTAGATCGAACCAAAATCTCTGATACTAGATGCTGGAAAAAAAACATAAATAAAAATAGGAACACAATAACAACACAAGAACATAATGCGGAAACCTCAAAATCGGAGAAAAAACCACGACAATGATCAATAACAACTGGAGAATAACATTATGTAAAGATTATTACAACACATAATATACCCTCAACTACCCCAGACACCTAATACATTCATACCCTCCAAAATAAATATTTAACTATATCTCACAATACTCTAATACAAGAGTATAAGAGAATAAAGAAATTAAAATACAAGCTTAAAATGATTTTGACTGGTGCATCTTTTAATGAAGAACTTTAATCCTTTACATAGTTTTTGACTCTCTCTTCTTTCACAAAACTAAGCGATGTGAGACTTCAAGGAACTTGTATATTATATATAGCATAAAACTTTCTCTTTATTCACAAACCTAAGCAATGCGAGACTTATTCAACATGTATATTTTCAACCAACTCCAAAAATGACGTGATTTTCCAAAATCAAATATTTATATGACAAATTAGAGGGACTTATGATCATATGACATGGTTTAGAAAAATTACACCCGAGAATTATATTGGTTCGGCCTAAGCCACTTGATCTTCCCCATTCTCCAATAGCCACCTTGATAATTCCACTAAAAAAATATTGAGCTTTTTAGAGGACCATCTCAAACAATCTTTCAAAACAATTTGAACTTTTGCACATGATCTACCCGAAAACCTTACAACAACAACCAAAACTTTTGCACAGACTTAACTCAATAACCTTTATCTAAACTTTTTCATATTTAACTTGTAATCTTCAAATCTTAATACAAATAGATCAAAAGAGAACTTCGCTCTTGAATAAATAATTTCAACACAACACCAATATAACACAACTCTCAGATGATTTTTTTCACTCTTTTGACACTAAGATAACTCTACTGAAAAAAGATCTTCAAAGAATAACATGATAAAAAAATGATAGAAGAAAAATTCTATTTAAAAAAAATGGTGTATTTTGAAATGAGGAAAAAACTATTTTATATAGGAAAAAAATCAGGTTAAAAAAGGAAACAATCCATAGACATTTTTAATGAGTTAATTGATTAAACACATATCTTAATCTATTAACCAAACTAAAATAGGAAAGCTTGAATTTCTATGTTACTTAATCGATTACCAACCCTCTTAATCGATTAGGAGATGTTATATTTTGATTTAATTAGTGAAAAGATTATCTTCAATGAATTAACCAATATATTTTACCTTCCTAATTGATTAAACAAACTTCTAATCAATTAAGCGCTTCTTTGAATTGGTTTTTAAATTTTTTTATCAAAAGAGAAGAACTTTAAAAATACTTTGTGTGTGTATGTACATATGTGTGCGCATTGTCTTAGTACCTCAAGACTTACTCTTATTCCTTTACAATAAACTGATCAAAATTGAAATGCAAAGCGGAGGACTGAAAGACCTTTCACACTTTCACATTTTTAACTTTAAGATTACAATTTCAAAATCCTTTGCTTGATTCAACACTTTCATCTAAAACTTCAAGATTACACTTTCATCTAAAACTTGATATATTTGACTCATGAGACTTGTGATATTTCTTCATTAGATGACATCATCAAGAACCTTTGAAAGAGTTGATGTGATCAAAACTATTTGACAATTGTATTCAACACTACTATTTGACACATGTCATCATCAATACCATTTGACAATTGACGTCAACACCACTTGACCGTTCTCATTTTCAAAATTGTTCGATGATATCACATGCATGACATTCTCTATTATCTATTAAACAAAAACTATTTTCATGTGTTGGTTTTATCATCTAATTTTAATATATCAGATATCAATCACCAGCTTTCATTTCATCGATTAATATATGATATTATATCTATTTTCATAGAGACATTTATAAAAACTTTAAAAGTTAGAGTATTGTTTAATTTCTCATAACAAAATTAAAAGTTACAATAAATCTCTCATTTAGACAATCTTCATAATCCTAAAACTATAGAAATCTACTTGATCGTAATTGAATTTGATACAAAAATTATTATCTTATGTATAGAGAACATAAAGAAATAATAAATTTAATAGAACAATTAAAACAATTAAAATAAAATATGTATTAAAAATACATCAGTATTACAATAACATAATAGAGACAAGATTCTTACAAATGTATTTTTTAATAATTCTCTGTGTGCTAAAAGCTAACCATGCCTATTTATACTAATGTTAATCAGGTCTACTTATCACCCAATAACCACTAATAAATGAATTTAATATACAATAATAACTAAAAAAATGGAAAATTCGTAACAGATAACACAAAGTGAAACAAACAAAATTGAAGTAAAACAAGGAGTCTGAAAGTATTACAGATTAGGGACGGTTTCAAGTGCATGGGTGGAAATATTTGATAATAGAGAAAATAATAGTATAACGTGGAAATAAATTGGATTGAGTTAGGTTTTATTAAGTTTATATTTGATCTGTTAAAAAAATTGAAGTTTAAGTCTGACATGTAGACTGTTATGGGTTTATTTTTATGTTTGAATCTGACCTTTTTTTAAATTTAGTTAATTAAAACCTATTATTTTAATTATATGTTAACAAATTAAAAAACTAAGGGTGTGTCTGTGTCAAGGTTATAAAAATTATTTCTGGGAATGTGATAATGGGAATGCAATATTCTCATGTTTGATTCAAGTTTTAAAAAATCATTTCAAAGAATTTTTTATTTCAAAGAATATTATTTATTCATGGATTCTCTATTCTTATTCCAATGCATAAAAGGTGAGAATAAAACATTTCCATAAAAATAAATTCAACTAACTCTAACTTTCCACTATCACTCCTATTTACTATTATTTTTTATTTTTTTATAATTTAAAATTAAACAAATTTTATAATTATTCTTAGGAACCTAAATTCTTATCAAACACATGGATTTGAATAATATTTCCAAGAATAATAATTCTAGGAATATCATTCTAAAGAATAAAATTTTCAACCATGAAACAAACACATCCTAAAGAGACTAAAAATTTGTTTCCATTGACTTATTTTAACTTACTAATTAGCATAAATTTTTTGAGACTATTTGTTTAAGAGAACTTATGAAAACAATTTATAATATTGTTCGTAAAGTGTTTTCATCTTATTTTCTCTAAAATATCTAAGTTTTATTTGTGTATTTTTATTCAAAGTATAAAATATAACATAATGATAATAAAAAAGTTATTCATATTTATTTATATCTATTAAATCTAAAAGACTTTTTGCATAGTCTGAAGTCTAATCTTTTTAACTAAATAAATTTATAAAAAAATTTAAGCTTAACCTGAACCTATGTAGACTAAATTATAGTCTGAGCTTGTTTAGACTAAACCATAGACCTTTATTATCGGCTGGTCTATTGCTATCCCTACGTGCAAAAGAAACAAAGATGCAAAGTCATGGTAATTTTGGTGCTTCAAAAATAACTGAAATCTTTCCTCTCATATCTCCTTTTAGTGTTACTCATGTCAATTGTGCCGTTAAAATCTTTTTATAATTACATGACATTATTTCAGTATTGATTATTTTTTAATGTCAAAATTGGGATTACATGAAAAATAAACTCATACTAATATAGTATTTACGGTTACATTGTATAGTTTTCAATTGTTTTAATAAACGTGTTGCGAACTTTCAATGTCTGTTAATAAACCCAATAAAATAGTTTTAACAAGTTTCATCCAAAAATTTACTTTTCACAATTCCAAAATTAGATACACAAATTACAACCACGTTAAATTAGTGGATACTACAAAACAAACAATAACAGCAAAAACACTAAAAATAAAACACACGTGACACCAACAACACATCACGTGCACATCAAATATCACCGGCGCGTGACATAATCAGGCGAAAGACTAGTGCGTGGTGACCGGAGAGAAAATTCCGTCGTCTGTTTACCGTTAACATCATAATAAATAACGCCGGATAAATCCAACGGCTGGCATTTTCCTCCCATCAATATCTCCTTCTGCCAAATGGCGCCGTTTCCCCATTCGTCGTCCTCTTCCTCCGGCTGCTTCTTCTTCGTCGTCTTTTTCTTCCCGAATTTCAACAATACCGATTTCGGCGCCTTGAGATCGACTCTCCATTCACCGTATTTGATCATCGTTGCTTTCGCCTTTCCCTTTAAACGGATGGCTTGCTTTGATAGTTGAGATAGAATCTCCGATAATGAAACGAAGATGCGGCCGGTTGGTTGGCGATTTGGTGACTCCGGCGAAGCGACCTTCATTGTTTCTTTCTCTCCGGTGAGTTAGTTTTGTGGCTAAATTTTGTCTATATGAAATTTGAAAAGTTGAATGTTTATATATATAGGTTCAAGAGTATGAGTCCATGTTATTTTGGTTGTCAATAACTCAATCTTTATCTTTTTCCAAATTTATGATTAGTTAGGGAAGTTTGTTAATGGACTTAATTTTTAGTTAATTAACTTCTTCAAAAAAATATATAATTTTCTGGAAATTTCTGTCAAAAGGCCAAACTGGATTTTCGAGATGGAAGGTAATATATATATATATATATATATATATATATATATATATATATATATATATATATATATATATATATATATATATATATATATATATATATATATATATATATATATATATATATATATATATATATATATATATAATTTGATCAGTAGAATAACTTTTTCTATCATATCATCGGCCTTCAGTTTAAAAAAAAAAATATTTTTCTTATATTTTTGAAAATAGATTTTATAAAAATGTTTTTTAAAATATTATAATTTTTTTAATTTATTTTTTCTAAATTAAAACACTAATTTTGATATCCTATAATCTAAACATACATTATTGAAGACCAATACAAAATATATTCGTTTTTTTTCTAAATCATTTTTGAAATACAATTTTTTAAAATAATTGTGATTTTGACTAGAATTGGATGTATATTGTTTAACGCGAGTCAATGATTAATATTAAATTTAATTAAAGTTTTGTTTGTCCATGTTCTAGACTGACTCAGTGACTAAAATTGGTTCAATTCGCTTCCATCTTTGGCACGACTCAATGATGTTGGCCCAACATCCTTGGTCGAACACACCCTCGAACGGCGCGACCAACAATGCTCGAATCGCATGCATGCCCGTGCTGACAGCTACTCCCAATCTGCTCGACACACGAAGAGTATACACCAAAAAAACACTCATGAACGCTTCTGCTCGTCGTCCCATCCTTGCTCGACGCAACAGCTAGTTACGAACACAACTGCTCATTTTGACGAAGTCCTAACAGTTACTTATTTTTGTGGACCCGCATATCTAGGCCAAAAAATAGGAACTAATGGCTACGCGTTGGGGAAACTATATAAACCCTCACACTTGTGAGGGTCAAGTATCCAATATTTACTCATAAAACCCTAATCTCTTTCTTGTATCTCTTTGCACTCTTTCTCACTAGATCGCTGGAGTGTCTTGCAGGTACACCATCTCCTCTCAATAAATTTCCAGCCAAGCAAACGTCATCAACTCAGTCCACCTCCAGGTTCTGATCAACCAGTGAGATCCGTGGTACCGTCTGTGGGAAAGTATCTTCCTCGTCTTCCTCTTCCTCAAAACCGAAGACCAAATATACGTTCACTACTCCAATCATAGACGACCATGATGACCATCACCTCTCTGGAAAGACTGTGCTCCCCCCCGTTCGCAAGGCGGATAGGAACGAAGAACCTCCTCATTAAATGATCTAACCCTTCGATTTTTGATATAACCGAGGGATATATAATCAGATTTTACTATAAAATCACTCGTTAAATTTTACCTTAATCCTTACTATATGAAGCCCCCCAAACTCGCATGTATCATTCTTTAGGATGAATTGCAAGGCAAAAAAAATCTTCAATGTTCTTCTATCTAGAATAAAACATTTTTCTGTCCTTGCAATCATTCTCACATAATGGTGCAGAAAAAATATTTTTCAATGTTGTTTTTGTAATTGGAATAAACTTCCTATAATGGATTGCAGGTGCAGAAAAAATATTTTCTAATGTTTGGAACAAATAACTTATTAGAAGATGAATTTATTTAAATCTGAATTACAACAAAGATTTATTGTTCACCAAGAATAACAACGACTATGATGACACTACATTTGTTATAATAATGTGTTTTAATATTATTGCTTCAACTTACACAAAGAAGGAATCTCAACCTTTAGATGATGGATATCAACAAAGATATTCATTCAAAAGAGAAAAGATTTATTGTAAACCATTTATTTTAATATTTTATATAAACAATGTAATTGTCAATATATATATATATATATATATATATATATATATATATATATATATATATATATATATATATATATATATATATATATATATATATATATATATATATATATATATATAACAAATGTCAACTCGATTTTTAAAAATAATCGAGGTGAAATATGACATTTGTAAAACAGATTTTACCCTAATTCTAACTAATATATAGCCGCGACAGATAGAGAAAATATTTACCACTATCTATTGCCATGAAAGTTTTGATCTAGAAACTCTTAAGAACAGACCAATGAAGACCATGAAATCTTTGAGGTTTCCAAAGACTATGAGATCTCTGAGGATTCCACCAAAGATCTGTTGTAAACAATTTATTCCCAATAACTTCTTATAGCAAAGATTTGTTTATCTCCAAGAATCTGGATTTGTTGTAATATTGCGTTTTAAAATTCTTTGTAAGTTATGTAAATTAAAAATTAATTTTAATAATAATCTTTCACCTCAGATATTCTAAAAATTGAGGGGATATTTTAGCGTTAATTTTGAGGATATTTGTCACCGTCCTTAATCAAATCCTTGCCATCCATTTTCATCACTATCAACGCTCAAGACGCTTCCATTAGTGATCCGTGTGAAACCTAAATAACTTCCATTATGAGAGCAATCTGAATATCAAAAAATTCATAATATAACATCATGAAGCGCTTGAAACTATCCTCCACTTTAAGATTTGTAAGAGTCCTGATCATAAAGAGTTCTCTAAGATGGATTGCAAGAGCATAAAATTATTTGGGTTTAAGGTTTGTGTTATTAAATGTTTATTTGAACATAAAGTTATTAATTTATCTAACCCTTTTTTTGTTTATATCAGAAAAAAAATGCAAGGAAAAACAATCAAACACATATTGTTTCCAGCAATTGATCTTCCCATGGATATCAAAGATTTGAAGATCCAACATATGAAATTCATGAACAACTTTGGTTTTTATTTTGATATTATGTGTAAACAATATAACCAGTTTAATATTCTGGGTAAACATTGTATTTTGTAAATAAGTTACTTTATTAATTTTCTGTGTAAACAATGTAACCAGTTTAAATTAAAAAAATACTACTAATTTAGCCCTCAGTTTTATTAAAAAACCGAGATACATGAGGCGCTATTATTAAAAATAACAAAAATGCAGATGTTATGGATCGAACTCATGCGCTATTAAAATACTCCTCAATATTTTAAACAACAAGGTGATAAGTCTTTACTTTTCATGACAATCTTATTTACCTCGCTTCCAAAACCGAGGTGAAACACATTTCACGTCTGGAATTACAAGCGTTATTTGTTATAGTGACCCTGACGAGCACATCAAGAACATCGATGCACTACTCGACTACAGGGGGTTCGAGGAGCAATCAAATGTCAGATCTTTCCTACTACGCTCTGGAAAGAAGCCATGACCTGGTATAAGAGCCTTCCAGGAAAATCCATCACGTCGTTGAAAAACTTAAGAAGACAATTTTTCAGGCACTTCACAGCATCTTGCCGTCATTCCAAGTCGGAAGCATCTTTGGAGGCGATCATCCATGAGAGGGACGAATCCCTTTAGGAATACATCAAGCACTTTAACAAAGAAGTTGTGCACGTCTCTACGACCGACGACATGAAAAAATATCTTCTTGAACGCGGGCTCCATCCCCACAGTGACTTTGCCAAGGCGGCTGGCATAGAATTCCCGACCATCCTGGATGCCCTCCTGCTCAAAGCACAAGTGTACATCCAGTATGAAGAATAGGAGGCAGCTAACAACGCGAGGAACTCGCGATATAGGGAGAATGCAAGTCCCAAAGAATGATGAACCCTCGACATCCTGTCGAGGAGGAGAAAAACAAAGGGAAGAAAAGTCCCAAGATTCTAGAGACTACAAGGGACCAACTGATCGATTTCATGACTACACCCCTCTCAACGCTTCATGTAAGCGTATCCTTACTGAATACGCCAATGCAAATTTCAAAACCACTGGTGTCTGTTTTCCCCGACAAACAGCGTCTAAACCAGGGACAAATAAAAGCAAGTACTGCAGATTCCACAAAAGTCACGGGCACATGACGAAAGACTGCATCCACCTTAAAGATGCTATTGAGATCCTCATCCGGGATGGGCATCTCAAACAGTATAAGAAGAAATACACTCCTCGGGAAGACGCTCCTGAATCGAAGAAGGTCGAGGAAGAGAATCCCTCCCTCGATAAAGCTCTCACGCCCGTCTCCATGAGCATCACGAGGCCAAAGGATTTCTACTTCCCTGACATGGAAGAAGCCCCCATGTACTTCTCATCTCATAGTCCTTGGGAATCCTTCCCATCAACAATGGTCATCTCCGACGGGGGATTCAATAAGTTCACGGTAAAAAGAAGGTTTGAGTTGCTGATAGAAGCCAACTCTGACATGAGCGCCACCCTCGAAAAGATCAGATGAGGCTCACACCCCCTCGTATTCTATCGGGAGGAGCTTCCAGGAGGAGCTCCCAACTCTAGTACCTGCTTCTCTTACGAGCGCGTATGACAAACTTTGACGTCATGTGCATCTTAGTCGATCAAGGCAACTTGGTGGACATAATGTACACCCAACTATTCAACACTCTGCAGCTAAACGAGACACGTTTGACCCTATATGTTGGCTTGGATCTCCAGGGATTCAACGATTTCATCACTAAACCTTGAGGGTATTGTGATCGGTGGATCTGGAACTGACTGTTTAAAGCTGGTTCGCGAAATGTCGCGGAAGCAAGAGTCGCCACCGTCTTTTATTTTCTCCAAATGGAAAGGACAAAAGCACAGAAAAATTCCTTAAAGAGATTTGTTCTCGGTTCGGGAGGTAGGTTATAGAAAGGGAAGGTGTTAGCACCCTTTCTATCCATGGTTATCCATGGGCTCTTAGATACTTGCTCAATGTGTTTTCAAAAATATTTGCTTG